TTCCGGCCTGCTCCAGCTTCGTCTGGAGAAAGAAAATAACACTATCGCGGTGCGCTCCCAGCTGTCTCTGCGCTGCTTCTTCATCCTCCTCCTCCGGGCTCTTCGCTGTGATTGCGCCGCCAGCTGCCCATCGCCCGAGCGCTTTGAAGCCTGTCTTGTTGCGCTTTTGCAGCGCAATTTGCTGGCCTGCCTCGCGCCGGAGGTCCTCGGCCTGCTTGAGCTGTGTCACAGCCGCATTGAGCTGGCGGATTAGCGACTTGGATTGGGCGTCGAACTCGTCCTTTTCCTTGTCTGTCAGAGGTTGCTGTTGTTGGCTCCGACCCGGACGTCGGGACGGTGTCGCCGTGGACAGGTACGCACTGCGCATAGAGCGCAGCTCGCGCGTCAACTCGCTGATGCGCGCATTCTATCCAGGCGCTGTTAGCATAGACCGGTGTCGGGGAGCGCAAAACGTACAATGCTGTACGCTTCTTGTATGAAGCTGTTGGCCTTTTCCACGTCGTATTCGTGCCTCAATACCTGCTGCCCATGCTGCTTTAGACAGATGTTGAACTCTGGAGTGATGTTGGCCATGCCAAGAACTGCCAAGTAGATGGTGGGGAAGTGACGGTTGACGCACGAACGACACATATCTATAGGAATATCAGGTACATATCAACACTAACAAACACTACGCGTCTTCGCTCGGAACGGCTTCGTATCCACTCCTTTGGTACGCCATCCTGGGTATTTCGTACAAATGGCCATAATCAATGCCTTCACCGCCCAAAAGACTACTGCATCCGTTTGACTTGGTATGGAGGATCGGCCCATCCGTCCAAAAGTCCCGGCAGTTGCTAAACACTCCGCGATAGAACGGGTTCCTCTTCTTGCGTTGCCGTCGCTCGCTTGCTGGCTTCTTGGAGCCGTTGTAGCCTTGGAAGGCAATGGTGAGGAACGTATCGATCCCCAACAGTCTGTACCATTGACTGCAGCATCCTTCCTTTTTGGCATGCATTCTCTGCGGAGAAGGCGCCTCTGGACCGGCCAAATCAGACGCGTCGATAGAGGTTGTGCCGGTGGCAATAGCCGTCATCAAAGGCCCGGCTTGAACGGCGGAGCGTATCGTTTCAAACGTTGTGATGTTCCGTGCAATCTGCGTGAGGTGCACAAAAAGAAGCATCGTCGTCCAAGTCAACTGTAGTGAAGCCCAGCAAGCGGTGACAATCGTGAGCGGATCTTTACTGAACTGTGCACACCACTTCTCGTTCAGAACCGAGCATGAGGATTCCAACGGCGGCGGCAAAACCTCGAGGTATGCAAGGGTCAGTTGGATGAACAATATAATCCCAACGATCAAGGCCACGACGTAGAGAATGAATTGCTTGTGATTATTCACTCCAACGCAGTTGTCCACCCAGGGACAATGGTGATCGTGTCGAGCCACGCACCGCCCACACCGCCGGCAGTGTTTGCTGCGTAATGACTTGCGAATCATGCAATGGGTGCAAAAGTGGGACTCGTCAAACGCCCCGTGTTGGACAAGTTCGTCAATGGCGTTCTTGGTCTGACCACGAGATGACGACTTCGGAATGTAACCCGGGTTTGCCGTCATAGTTAAGGCGTAGAAATAGGTACATAGGCCGAAGGAAAGGGCAAATGCCAAGTTGAGAATGGGGTTGGTGTGATATGTGTGCAGCAATATGTCCACAACGTAGCGCACGCCCACCCAAAAGAGCGTGCCGGCGAATATTCCGGCAAGAAAAGGTGTCCGGTGCATGTGCTTCATATCTGCAGGAGCCCATCTCAGCGAGTACTGAACGAGAAACTGCAGTGCATAGCCGACAATCAGAACCGAAGGCAGCCCAAGCCAGAGGGACATGTTAGCCAACATCCAGAGTTGTAGACCACCCAGTGCAAAGGGCCAGAAGAAGAAGAATCGCAAGAAGAACCACCTTCGATCTTTGACGGCCGGCAATGGGAAGCTCATCGGGTTTCCCTCTCGATCAAAGCCGGACTTGGCGAGCGCCGAGTACCAGGCCCGCGTTGAGCCCATCCGCACAGCCGTCATGGCCGGTGTGTCGCCTTCGGCATGTCCATCTGTGGGTCTACTTCGCGCAAATCTGTCGCTACCGTCCTCTATCAGCTTCTGGATGCAATTATGATTGCCCTTTACCAGGGCCCAATGCAAGGCAGTGAAGCCCATTTCGTCCACCGCATGCACATCGGCGCCCCATTTGAGTAGAATCTCGACACATGGCCCATAGCCCTTGTATGCCGCCCACATGAGTGCCGTGTGTCCTTGAGCATCTGGCACATCAATCGGTATATCCCCTTGATGGAGAAGCAATATCAGCTGGAAAACGTTGCCGTCCAAGGTGACCGAATGGACCAGGTTATAGCCCTGATCGTCCCGAGAGAGAGGATCGGCGCCGTTAGCCAACAGCAAGGATATTATCTGGAGGTGACTTCTTTTGCTCGCCCAAAGGACTGGAGTCGCCTGAGCTTCACCACCTCGCGCATTCACATCTGCGCCGCTCTGTATCAGGAAATGGCAGAGCGCATAGTGTCCATTGATGGCGGCCCACTGACCATTGTCAGCCTAGATTTATCAGCAGCCATCTCGCTTACATGTAGTGCCGTAATGCCCTCTTCGTCCGTCGACCGCGCCGAGAACTTGCCGCTGTCAAAGAGCCGCTGAATTCCCCGGAGCTCTCCCAATCTGGCCAGCTGCATCAGGTCTTGCTCAACCGGATGCGCGGCCTTCTCACACCCATCTGATTCGGCCACAGGAATGTCGCCCACGTGCTGGCCATCTTTCTTAAATGCAGAATCATGCGACATCATCGTAGGTCTGTCACATCATCATGTGCTATTCTTAATCTTGCCTGCGGCGGAAAGTCAGTACACGTCACCCATGTCATCCGGGAACACCCGCCGCCAATCAAGTTGCAAGGCGCCGACAGCCTGGAAACGCAATTCGCCCCACACGCTAAGATCACAGGGACAGATGTACACGACAATTGTTGAACCGAGCGCCACAGCCACAAGGACTATAATGCAACAATGCAATTATCGCCGACCAAGTAAAATACACAAGACCCATTCGTAAAAAATACAGCCCCCTCTCAAGCAGCCTATTACCACCTGACGTAAACAACACCATCCATCGTACAGAATCCCTTAGGGATATCCTGATGAGAACTTCATCGAGTAGCATACTTGTCTGCCCTGGTAGCAAATAATGAAGTTGTGGAACATGGGTTTCCCTATGACTAGACATGGTTGAATTCTCGACCGTAGCAACGTGCCAATCGACAAGTAAAGTGACAGTATGCTCGGAAATTCAAAATGCTGCATCCCGCGTGATCATGTACATCAGATCTCATTTTCCTGCGGCATGTTACATCTGTTTGACTGCTTGTCTCCAGGCATGAGTTGGCACCAATTGTCTGAGACAGCACTGCTTGATTGAGATAGCACTGCTATGTTTGAGTCGGCACCTCTTGTCATAGCCAGCAGTTTACAAGCCTGGAGGCGCCCATAGATAGAAGTCACCCTTTTGTGCTTGTCGAACCTCCGACAGCATATCTCTGTGTCCATTTTTCCTTCGGTGCACTGGTGTATCCACGGCCTGATGCCAGCCTGTTTCCAGTGTCATATAACATCTACCGGCGGTTATGTCCTATATCGATTTTGGCACGAGCCCCTCTCTTTGCAACTCCGAACGGAAAGAGGCTGAGCTAATGTGGAGACTGTCTTTACGAATAATTCATCGGGTCGCTCGTGCAGGGTTCATTTGGCCCATGACTCAGCAAACAATGCACTATACCCAACTTCCCATTGGCTTATTCATGTCTATCACTCGGTGAATTGCATTTGTCGTCTTGGAAAGATATCCTCACACAATGCATTATGTCCAGCTTATGCATTGATCTTTCCCACACTGGAGGGATATAACAGGCCCTTCTGCTCATATCGATACAGAAGTTACAACATTGAGAAAACATTGCGAGCTCCAACCCAACCACGAACAAGGTGACCACACCTTTCCCGCCTCTACAAATCAATGGAAGAACGCTTACATTTGTCCCCCGTGACAAGAAGCACAAGCGCACGCCAGTTGGTAATGTCAGCAGCAGAGAGAAAGCCATCAAAATGACTGGTAAGTTTTCCGCCGAAAAGCCGTGTGCGTTGGAAATGTCTGCTGACGACAATGGCTATGAAGGTGATGTTGAATCTGGGGATGAGAACATGGAAAGTGAAAAAGGGGGGTGGTATTATTTGTGATGTACAGTGTACAGATTAAAGGTTGGTTAGATTTTCAATGCTGACATTCAACCTGAGCGCCGCTCGCTTCATAGTACATTTATTTTCCCTACCCCCTCGGAGCCAAAGAGCCCATACCACTCCACTCACTTCACGAGTCGATTGTGTTCCGACCCTAGCTATTATAATTGCCAGAATCCAGCAATGTCGAATGACCTCGTCCTAGAGGGCAAAAGTTACATTCTGTACTCCGGGCAATTCTTCTGGTACGGTCTGTCGCAAAAGTCTGGGGCGGTATGCATCTGTATGTGTTAGTATCTGGTTCAGAGGTGAGGTTGCCCGAATGAGCCGAGAGAATTGTTCCCGGCAAAGTCAATAAAAAGAAAGAAAAAGCTGTAGAACGGACAAAGGATCTGTTGTGCAGGTCGCCGCGGAGCGATCCGCACGTGATGACCCACACCCCTAACCAGGGTTCAGGCGATTAAGAATTTTCTCTTGCAGCTCTATATACGCGTGTATACGGACATACCTGCGAGGTGCCGCTGCTTATTAGAATAGGGTCAACCCCCCAAACTCGCCGGATAGATCTGTGCAATCACATCATTTCCTATTACTTTTGATATGTGCAAACAGCTGTGCAAATCAAGATCCAGAAAATCCCACTTTAAATGGTCACGCGTCTGCCAATGTCATCTGTCTTTCCCTCTCGAGGGGTATATTTGTGAAGTTGGGACCCCATGATATTGTGACCAGGTCCAATGGTCTAGTGGTATGATTGTCGCTTAGGGAATCTCGATTCCAGTTCATTCGAATCAAAAGAGGATAGATCTATAATGCGACAGGCCCCGGGTTCAAATCCCGGTTGGACCCTTTGCATCTTCTTTTTGCCCGCAACCAGCACGGATATTCCGATCTAACCACCTCACGATCGTCATAACCACAAGCAAACACTGTATGATGTCAGACACAAAAACCTTTTGAGAAAGAAGTTTCATATTCCTTTTTTGAAAAAGGCAGAAGCCCTTAGGTCATGTTTACGCTTGATCTACCATTCTACGTTTCTTCAGAAACTCTCTACGTAAGTGATGTGATTGTCCTGGCACATTGTCCCTTGGGAAAGCTGTTGCTTGACGGCGCAGCCATTGTTACAGATTCCAAAACTGTCATCTCCAATGCACACGGTTCCAGCAGATGAACATGGCACGCTGCCTGTTTGGCATGTTCCGGACGAAATCGACGCTGCTGAAGCTGTGGACTGAGTAGTTGTTAGAGTGGAGAACACCGACGGCCCTTGAGCAGATCTCGAGGAGTTTGCGAACGGCGGAGCTAGAGAGAAAGTCGTGGGTCGAAAAGAAGCCCGCAACGTTGTCTGTGTAGAGGCAAGTGTACTTGTCGTTGCAGAAGCATTGGACACGCCACCACCCCTCGGAGCCCCATCCATAGCACACATAGGACACTTTGGCCTAGCCAAAGGATACGCCGCCTTCTCCACATTTTCCTTTCGAGCAACATACCTCCCCGGAAACGGAAACATAAAATCAACCCCCTCCTCAGCCGAACAGGCATCAACACCCGCCAAATTCCCCACAAACATCGTCGGCAACTCATCCATCTCCATCCCATCACCCTCCCTAAACTCCACATTAACACAATTCTGATACATCTCCCTATTCCCCACAGTATTAAACCACGTCCAACTCAGAATCGCATGACCGGCTTTAACCCCCCTAGGAATCGTGAAATTATACTCATTCACGCAGTCGATGCCATTTGCCTTGGGGTCCTGACAGCTTATTGCGCCAGTATAGCGGCCCTGCGGGCCGGTGTAAGTCCCGTCGAGGTTACCATGCGTATTGGAGGGACATCCGCCTTCGATTGAGTGGATTACGAACCAGTTGCAGGGGTCTTTTTGTTTTGATGGGGAGGTTTCGTAAGTTAGGGAAAGTTGACATGAGCCGCCTCCGTGGACGGCTGTGTTTGCTCCGTTTCCGAGGTTGAAGGAAAGCAGGTGCGTGGAGCCCGCGGACATGATTTGGCCGCCGGAGGTGGGGAGTGAAATGCCGTGGCAGGGGAAGTTGGATCCAGAGGGGTTAAGGGGGGAGTTGATTCCTGTGCCCGGTATGGGGGAGGGGGAGGAGATGAATAAGTGTGCGCTGGCTTGGAGGATGAGGGTGAGGATTAGGGGAGTGTGCATGGTGGGGGTTTGGGGGGTTTCTGGGGGTGTGATTTGGCAAGTTCGGGGGGCTTGCCCAAAGATTTATACGAGAACTGGAAGAGGGAAAGAAAGAGTAAGACAGAGTGACTGCACTGGACAACGTTGCAACCAGATGAACAAATTGCAGGGACTTTGAACAAGTGAAGGCCTTTACATCGGAACAAGACAAAATTTTGTCTCATGGCCTTTATGAAAGCACAGGAGGGACTAGGTCAACGCATCCAAGAAGATTTTGAGCAGCAATAAGATTTCACTGCTAATACCATTTCAACAAGGATTCAACTGTAGGATATGAAAAGCGTGCTGCCTTGGTGTCTGGGACATTCAATGACAGTATACATTCGTGGCTTGTGTCCTATGAACTTTTGTTGTCTTGAATGGCGTACCTTCCACCAAATGCAAACCGGAGTTACATAACAACACATCTCTTCAACCGGCCCTGTCTAGAAAGACAAGTGAGCATGTTCCTTTTACTTCCAGATCAAAAGGCTGTCTTACCATACGTGATACCCGAAACTCTAGCAAACCTCTTCACATATCTCAAGAGAAAAGGTTTTAAAAGGACACACAAGCCGCATATCTCCTGTTTGCCAGCAACCTACCAAGCTCCTCTTTGTGAAGTCTCAGAGTCAAACAAACGGCATGGATATAAAGCTCAGTAGTATATGTATCATTCTCATCACCATACCATCACGTATGATCTAAAGATATCCTTTGTTGCTGCTGAGACCGTTTATTAAGTCTGCCAGCGTGTGCATTGACTATATCCACCTCCTAACCCATTGAACCTCAAGATTGGTATACCTCGGGAAAGTTGCCCCAACTCCCACTAACTTCTCTCACATCCGTATTGAGATTACGTGCGTATTTATTGCACCGACAAGTGTATGGAAGAGGGAAACAACGCAGCTGATAGAATACATTCTTAACATTCGACTATCCACTCGGTGAAAACCAACCCACCCCTCTTCAAGCCATCACCCCTTCAAAATCCTCTCCACCATCGCCCTACAAATCGGATGATAAAAGTCTTTATTCTTCTCAAACGAAGTCTGAGCCAGGTCCGCATCACGTTTCTTCAGCTGCGTGTACAGCGGACGCACAAACTTCATCCGGCCCACCTTCCCCAGCAAGTCAGCCGCAGGTCGGTAAATACTCTCAGCTCCCGCCATCAAACCCAGGACAAAGAATCTGCTCACGAGTTCTACGTTTTGTGAATTTGCATAGCCGTATGTTCTACCCATGAGGTCAATGAGTTGGGGTTTGAGAGGCGTGGAAAGTGTCTGCAGTTGCTCCAGGAAGACGACAGATTGGTTGGATGAGAAGTTGCCAATGTCGGATTTGCTTGGGGCGAAGTTCTCGTCCTCGCCGCTGCTGAGTTTCTGCCACTTTTCAGCGAGACGGTAGCATTGGTCGGCTAGAGTCGTGTCGAAGTCTGGTTTTGGGGGGAAGCCGGGTTTGTAGAACCATTCGTCCCATTTGATTTTGTTGAGCTTGTCGCTGGCGTCTTTGTCGGATTTGAAGAAGTTTAGTAAGTTTGCTTTGAATTCGTAGGAATCGACACTTCGTTCTTTGAAAGTGGTGAAGTATTGGGGGATGAATTTGTTCCATTTGTCTGCTCCAAGGAGTTTTTCGAGGTGGTAGAGGAATACGAAACCTTTTTCGTATGGAATTGACGAGAAAGATTCGTCGGGGTCTTGCTCTTTCATGTCAGGAATAAGCTTAGTGAAGTTGTGATCTTCACCAAATTGCTTGATGCTGTCTTCGAGCGCTTTCCAGCCGATAATGGCTGAGAAGTCTCGACTCTGGTCACCTCCGTGCACGGCAGCTTGAATTCGACGCTCAAGATATGTTGTCCAGCCTTCGTTGAGCCAAAAGTGCTCCCAGCTGGCATTGGTTACCAGATTGCCTGAGTAGGAGTGCGATAATTCATGGGCGATTACATCGACATTTTGTCGGTCGCCAGAGATGATGGTGGGTGTGGCAAAGGTGTAGATTGGGTTTTCCATGCCTCCGTAGGGAAATGAAGGTGGAAGGACAAGAACATTGTACATGGTCCAAACGTATGGATATACAATCTTCTCAGCAGTTTGTATGAAGGTTTCAGTATCTGCTTCGAGTTCCCATTGGCAAGCTTTGACTTCATCTGGGCTTGTCCAAACGGTGCTTCTTGGTCCGACAGATGCCGATGCCAGATCTCCCGATGCAATCGCAACGAGGTATGACGGGATAGGGATTTTTTGCTCAAAAGTGTACATTGAAAATTTTGCTTTCCCGTTCGAGCCAGATTTCGAATCCTCGTTTCCCAGAGGGAGGCCCGAAGCTAGCACGGGTAGTGCGGATTGAATGTGGTAAGTATACGTTGATTTGACATCCGGAGTGTCCTGGCAGGGGAACATGGAGCGGGCATGTATTGCTTGGCACTGCGAAAACATATAAGGATGCTTCTTATTGGATGTCTGAGCAGGTGTGAGCCATTGAATAGCTGTACAGTCCTTGGTTGTCTGCATGTCAATAGAGAGCTCGATGCACGAACTTTGATTCAAATGCTTGGGGTCCACCTTAACGGTCAAGGGCGTTCCGTAAGGCTCAGTCCTGGTGGGAGCAAGTGAGAAGTTGGTGGCTTCATTGCCAATCCTGATATTCTGGATATTCAGATAACTGGTGTCCAGCACAACCTTTGGGACGTTTTTGGCAAGATTTTCCAGAGTCAAACACACGGTGCCATGCAGCTTTCTGGCCTCAAAGTCAATAATGAAATCGATTTTCGTATGCTTTGTGCGCCAGGCATCATAGTTGGACAGAGTGTTAGGGTCCCGCCGACCGGACTGGGATATAGAAAGATCACGGGTAGTCATGTTGAATGTGGCTCTGAAGATGTTTCCTAGCCGTGAAGCTCCGCGAGGAAAAGATTTGAAACTGGTCAATGCTATCATATCATGCCATTAAATGGCGTTTGTTACAATTCATTTCATGTTCTTACGCTTTGGCGGGGAAGCCGTTAGCATCTGATCGCCTGAATAGCGAAAAAACTACGACAATGTCAATCCGTCTGTATCTAGCTTAACTACGATCATATATGTTTTAGTGAATCTGCGGCCGTGACCATGAAGAACCCTTTGGCAACCGCCTGGTGGTGCGGGAGGTAAGGTTGGATTACATCACGTGATTACGCGTGTGGGGTGTTTGGACGCCACGCGTCCCGCGACTTCACCCGACATGAACCGCTAAAGCTGCTTCTCACAGCGCAAAGTCTCAACGCGTCATTCACGGTCATGGTCACACTTCGCAGTCGCGCTGCGCCGCAACGTTCGCCGCTTAAGGAGAAGACCAACACGACGCGCAAGAATGCTTCAGCTCAGAATGGCCGCAAGAAAGCGGAGAAGACCAAGGCAACACCAGCGCAAGATACGACACGAAGTGATGCTGCATTAGACGACGGGAAAGCATCGCGCCTGACGCCCTCACCGCGCAACATGGATGCGCCGCAGTCACAGATGGAGATTCGATCATCACCGCCCCAGCCCCCGGCAGCAGCAATATCCAAGGCGCCGCAGGTTGCAAATGCTAGAGCTGCGCCAACAGTAGAAAACAGTCTGGTGGCACTCAGCAACTTCAAGAGAAGGCCCAGACAGCCGAGTTTGTTGGCCATGAT